TCGAATCAATAATTATGGCATAATATTGTACTTACCAAGGAAGTAACGTAGCTAAAAGGAAACTTGTCACAAATCACTTGATACTGAAATAAAAAAATAAATAATTTTTTATTTTTAAAATAAACCTGGTGATTAAAGGGTTAAAAGTTTAGTCAAACGTGTAGATGCGTGTACTGTTCACCATAGTTCAAGTGCGGCAGAGTCTTCAATTGTTCAGTTATTGGCAATCATCTGTCATTCTCTGGTGGCTATTTCCACCTGCTAAGTACTTGATATCACCACTTAAACTGGTAATAATAATGGTACCTACTTCAGTAGTGATTTACCGTCATTAGTATTTTATGCTATAATACTGCACAACCAGGATTTATCCAAAGCCTCGTAGTATTTTTATATTGAGGGATGACTGCTATGTTAGTGTACTAAATAAGAATTTAGTTTGATGTTATTTTCCATCTGGCTAGTTAACAACAACCTTGACCGGCATGGTCATTGACATTATTTGTTTGGAAATTGTTCCCCATGCATAGGTAGTCATAATTAGTCTGGACTCTATAGCCTTTTTGCAATGAATAAAAGCTCAAGATCATCAGCATCAGGTATAATACATCAAAGATTGTCAATTTATATCATTTGGCTTTATCATCAAGACTAGCAAAGCTCCTCCCAACCCTAATAAGTCCCCCTCTCTAATGTTCATTCAGAGGTCAATATTTTAGCAAGGATTTAGAAAGTTGCAATGGCATACTTATTCTTATTTTTGCTTTGAAAGCCATATTGATTGCACTTTATATTAGTCCTTCATTGAGGTAATTTTTTTAGGTGGAGAAGTCACACCTTCTTGTATTTTTAAACGGGATCTTAATGCGTTACATAAAGAAGTGATGCATTGCTCAGTACAAGTTGAGCGACTGAAGCAGGAATTTGCTGAATTAAAAAAAGAGATAAGAGAGGCATTGAAAGAAATTAAAGAAGCATATGTATGTCTTAAGAGTACTACAACAAAACTAAAATCAGAAATAGAATATTAAAGGTAGAGAGAGGAAGGGAAGGTAGAGAGAGTGACATGAAAAAGAGTGTGACATCAAAAGAGAGTTTTAATAATTCTTATTGTGTTTTTATGATGTAAAATAGTTATGATATTACAGTTAAGTCACCATTAACAATATCTATTGTGAGATCAAAACAATATTGATCTTCTTCACCGTCATAAACTACAGTGTGAGTTTTAGAACATGTGTCATAATCTAGAACTATACCATTGTACCACTGCACTTCTGTACCTTCCTCTGTTTCAAACTTATGACTGATTCTATGACCAACTAGCATATAAGGATCAGACAGAAATGGTGGTAAATCATCAGCATGTTCATCAATGTAACAACTTAATTCTAGTATAACTTCTGAAAGTGGTCGCTGCCTCCTTAAAATACTAAACTTTATGTCGATGTCTTGTTTCAGCAACTTCTTGTGCATCTTTATTTG